GTACTCTTTACAGATGAGAGCAGATTCAATCTGAGTAGCGATTCTCATCCCATACTCATGTGGAGGGAGCGGGGAAGCCGCAATCATCCCTCGAACATCATTGAAAGGGACAGGTATGGAGGTGGCGGTGTTCTCGTTTGGGAAGGCATCATGCTCGGTAGTCGTACAGACCTTCACATCTTCGACGCAGGTTCAGTCAACGGGACGCGTTATTGTAACGAGATTCTTCTTCCATATGTACGTCTTTTTAGAGGAGCTATGGGTCCGCAGTTCCTTTTCATGGACGACAATGCACTATTTCATCGCACAGTAGCTGCCGGACAGTTCTTAGAGAGGGAGGATATTGAACGTATGGATTGGCCGGCACGATCTCCGGATCTCAATCCCATCGAGCATGTATGGGATTTTCTAGGCAGACGCTTGGCAGCTCGTACCTTACCACCAGTAACGATTCCGGAGCTTCGATTGGCGCTGCAAGACGAATGGGCAGCAATGCCTCAACAAACTCATTGACACCCCTCATTCTCAGCATGGGGCAGACGCTGGTGAAACCTGCCTAGCAGTCAGGGGAGATCATATCCCCGATTAAAGACCGGATGTTTCTTGCTGGACACCCATCACAGAGATGTTTCGGCCTTCAGTCGCATTGCGCTCCATGCTACTTTTTCAATAAAACTTCTTTTTATCCCTCTGATTTCTCTTTTAGTAAGTGTTGCTTACATTACTCATGTCCTTACGTATTGGGGGTCTTATGGTATTAAATGTGTTGATTTGGAAAGCTTTTGTAAAAAGTTATATTGAAGAAACCGTCTCGTCCTTAATTTTTGCACACCAGTGTATATTGAGAATATAAGTCGTAAAGAGGTTTGAAATGGTATCATGTTCAAGCCTCCCCCCCCATAGCACTCTGCAGATTTTATTATAATTGTAACCAAGTACATTTCAAACGTGAGTTGGTTAATAGTCGGTCCCGTGAATTTACTTAACATTAAATTAGCGGCCCTTAGCCCATAAGATCGTTGAACATTCGTAGTTTCACCGGGTTCAAATACTGGTAGACGGATTACGTAAATACGAGCTAGTTTTCCCGGAAAACATCCTTTTTCTTTGACAGATAATGGTCGTGTGCTTGTCTTGTGTAGTTAAACGTACATAGTATGTGCACCATACAAATTGCTGTGTATGAACAACCAATTCGTAAGAGTGAACAACTGGGGAAGCAATCGTAACTTGTCAGTAGTTTTAAAGTCAGAGGTTCTCAACCTTTTTTGCTCCATGCACCCCATTTACCATTTCCAGATGATTATTTCCCTATTTCGCATTCCAAAATTCGAAAAATGCAAAAACATTTATTTAAATTTAGATTCCTTAATGTGTTTTAAAAATTAAACAAGAAAGAGCTGTAAAAAATTTTAATAAATACCAAAACTTTAACAAAACTAGTTTTTTTACATCCATAAAAATAAAACTAAATAGGTTAATAAAAAGCTGAAAAAGCTGATCGCATTCCTCCCGCCAAAGGTATGAAATTCCCCCATAGGTGCCATTCCCCCTGGTTTTAAGTAAAGCAGCTTTTTTTTTTTTTTTTTTTTTTTCTTTCCCTTAGTTTTGTTTTTGTGTGTATCTTTAAAATTTTTAGGAAGTATTTTATGAGAATTATTTTGCTTAACACACTTTTCTACTGATTTGTTAGTTTAATTTTATATATTAAATAGGAATAGTCTTTTTATTTGCAATACAGCTGCTCGTTTTTCAGTTAATTCATGAAATTTTTCGTTTCGCATCACCTGGCAGCGAGAAAATATTTGCTGAAGAGCAGTTATTTTAATTCTTTCTACAGTACTATTCTGAAAATTGCAGAATTTTTTTATTGTACATACGTAAGGATTCGACGGTGGCTTCACAAGAAACCGTCGGATCATTTCATTCGAAAAGATGTCTTAAAAGATATATTGAAGTAAATATTTTCTTTAAAATGTCTACTGTGCAGTTTATTTTCCTTTCCGTTGTGTAATTAGTAATATTACCCATGAGAGTTGCAACTTCTATCTTAAGGTGCTTTGCAAGCATTTTTACCTTGCGGGAGGTGATAACTGGATTCATATGTAGCAGTTGAAGAAAGGACGATCGGCTGTCAGAAAGTTCTTATCATAAATTTCTATAAATACTGGTTAAAAAGATAAAGAAAGAGTGTTAAGGTGGATGGTCTATGATCACATTATTAGATGTTTTAAGACAAATCAAAGAGACTACTACTTGAACTATTAAACTGTTACTTCGGTATCTTTATCCGATATTTCATTTTATTAAGTTTTATCTCATGCAGATGTCTCTTTTTTTAACTGCCAAACATCATATATTGGTTGTCCATAATCTTTTCGTGGGTAACCGTAATGCGTATAAAAGTAGATCTTATATCGTTATTTTGTAAACATCTATTGAGCCAATTTGTGTGGCTATTAACTTTTATAAAAAAAAAAAAAAATAATGTTCTCTTGTATGCCAAACCAAGTTTCGATAAATAATGAGAGAATCGACTCTGAAAAATTTCATTTTTTTATTCTGAAGCCCTACACTTCATGGGGCCCAACAGCGGCCGAGCGGTAAAGTCACTGAACGCGGGTAGTTCGGTGCGAGGTTCAAAATCCCGCTAACAGACTGGTTTGCATGGTCGTTTTCGTGGTTTCTCTCCTTGTGTAACGTGTACACGAGCCAGTTTCCCTTAAAGTCCTCCACAACGCATATAATCCAAACCAAACCTACATTTGATATCGAATTTTCTCTTTTTGAAGTTAAATTGCCTGCTTTGCCGTTCTTCTGACCGTTTGGAGAACAACTTTCATCGTTGAATTGCTATTGCTTGTAATTAATTAATTTTCTTTAATTAAAAATTTAGGTGAAATTTTTATTACCTTCAAGTAAACTTTTAGTATTTTTCCTTATAAGTATATAACAAAAGTTTAGTAATTCAGCTGGGCTGATTACTGAAGCAATAGATTTATTCTACTCAGCACTTTTTACTGCTTCACTGTATTGCTTTTTTTTTTTTTTTTTTTTTTTTTTTTTTTTTTTAGCTGATGCCAAAGCAGAAAAGTAAATTGGAGCTTGAAATACATTGATACTTGGTGTTCCATTTTACTGTATTTTGGTCGTGAGTTACGAGCTTTCTTAAAAATCTCTGAACGCTGGTAATTCGGTCAAGCCAGGCGAACAGGTTGGCTGCATGGGTATTTTCGTGGTTTTCTCCATGTGTAGCGTGTATACGAGCCAGTTTTTCTCGGAAAGTCCTCCACGAAGGCATCCCTCCTCTTAGGCAGATAGGCCCTAGCGTACTTTGCCTTAACCTGGTAAACAAATCATGAGAAAGACGAACGGTTTTTTTAAAAATTATTTCTGTGAAGTCAACTTTTAGTCATCTTCCATATGAATACTTACCAGAATAATACCTATCACTTGAAATTTACCGGGAGCATTCCTTAAAACCATTAATTTTGTTCATCTTTCCTCATCTGCTTGCCATGTATAGTCTTTTCTGATAGAAGTGCAACCAGAAAAAAGACAGGTGCGTAAAATTTCAAAATAACATTTCTCTAAATATTCCCAGAAGGCGATCAACCGTCACTTAGCTTTCATAGATATATATACCCTTAAAAAAAGGTTAGAAAATTAAAATCACTTCTCAGAGTTGAAAAGTTATTAAACGTAGTGTAACACAATTAGGAAACAAACTATGTAATATAAAGTTTCGTTGATTTTGAAAACTGAGATGTGAAATTTTGAAATGAAAAGTTAAATACTGTCACTCATTTACGTAAGATATCAACAAACACTAGTCGTCAGTGACTTGAAAAATGTTTAACCAATATTATAAGCTATTTATTATTGCCTGCGTTAAATATAATACGCCGATAAACTGAACTTCATTTAACCTAAACAGTTATACCCTCTAAGATTATACACTGTAAGAACTTGCTGTTGTTGAAATTGTTGATTTTTCAATAGGTAGTGTAGAGATGTAAATATAATGTAACACGTTTGCTTAACAATGTTTATCATAGGTATTAATTTCTAATTGCCAAAAATAATTAGAAAAGTTATAAAATATTATCTAAATATGGCTCGTCCCAATTAGTAATTATAAATGTTGTTGTAAGGCAGTGGTGCCCAACCTTTGGCCTCTCGCGAGCCCATTTTGGCCTATTGCGAGCACATTTCCAAAACATCAACATTTTTTTAAACATATTTCCAAACGTATATGATACATCTGAAATATTAATTTCGGCAAATGGTTTTGAGATGAATAATAGTATTGGTTGAACTTTATGGAAATCAGAGAGCAGAGTTCAAAATTATTTTTCAGTGAATTTAGGTTTTCCAAGTATTTCTCTGTGGTTATTTTTAAAATATTTTTTGTTCATAGTACCTAATCGGAATGGCGAGCACATACAAAACGATCAGCGAGCACAAGGTTGGGCACCGCTGTTGTAAAGTATCAAACATTTCTCGTAATCGGCAATTAAGGGGATTAGCTGTCCAGACAAGATTTAAAAATTCTTAAAGATAAACAGTTTGTGAATTTACTTTTATCTGCATGTTGCAATGGAAAATATCCGCAGTACATAGTAATAACAATAAATCACAAGCTTAAATTTCTTTCGTATGTCATTCTTGGAAAGGACACCACTGCCCCTTTTCCAAGGGGAAAAAAAAAAAAAAAAAAAAAAAAAAAATTGTCAGTGATCTTCTTGTTGGTCGTTATAGATTTTTATATTGATCATCTAAAGTCAACATAAGTTAAAATACCTGTACTAAATAATCATGTTTTAATTAATTTGTACCATATAACCGGTAACTTTTCCCTCCTTTTAGATTCATGCGCATACAATTAACCTTTCGCGGGCTTATACCTGAAGAATAAAAACTAAAAGAGTTCACTCTTTCAGCTGGGAATCGGTCAGTGTTCGAATTTTCACTTGTTTATTCTTTTTCTCCTTCAATAGGTCATCGTCTGCCGTTGGGTTCCAATGTGGAATCGGACGCCGAATTATTGCACATTTTGCATCGCGTAATGCGTTTGCACACCTTCATGCTTTCTTGCGAAGAGGACAGATGCTGTTGCCAATGTAGATCAAACCCAGATCGAGCCCCGCTGAATGTCACTGGGCAATGGATGTATACCTCGGCTCGCATGTCGGAATTGCCTAATAGACCATTCGAGAATGCAGTGTCACAAGATGTGGTGAGTAAGACATAACAGAACATTTTAGTTATTTGCATAATTTTTATTAGACACTTAGGTACTTACGTATTATCCCGTCGACCATGAAATTTGGATACCATCCAGCCATGAAAGCTGGTGGAAATCCCGCCAAATTTGCGCCAATTCAGTGCTACGGAATTCTGAAAGGACCAACGCCTTTTTATGGTAATAAATAATCAGTATTCGACCCGTTTCGTTTTTGTGCTTTGTATAAAGTTCTGTTAAGAACGGATTGAGTGCAAAATCTTACTGGTTTATCGGTCATATCGGTTCAGCTGAACATGTTCCTATCTATTAGTACATATTTTTTTAATGAACTTCGAAAGTAGTTTGCTGTTCTGTAGAAATCAGATCCTAAACTTTAATTTTTTTTTTTTTTTCAAAATACAAAGGGAAAATTCAGCAATAACAATTAATTTCTATCCTTGTTCATTAAAATAAAAAGTGACTTTTCGAGAATTAAATAAAAGAGCAGGTGTTATAAGTGTGTTGTTACGTCATGCTTATCCATAATTGGCGTTAAATCGTGCTGCTTGGCGACGTTTTACGGTTGACGGGGTAATACCTAGTATCGAGGCTTAGCTTTCACTTCTGTTTAGAGACAAATAAGGTAAGTAAGCCTGAATATGAACCCTGTATAAACTAGCTAATTCTTAAAAAAGTCAGTATTTTCATATGTCGTACAAGTTTTATTAGCTCTGCTTCTTTCCAAGACAGTGGTAACCCACAAAATATTGAATTTCTTGCAGATAGTAGGTGTTTTTAGAAGACCAGAATGGAGAGTGTATCTAGATTGAGAAAAAAATGTCAATACTCACTTTTTTTTTTTTTTTTTTTTTTTTTTTTTTTGTTCAGTATGGAATTAAGAAAGGTTTTTGGGTTGAATTTAAAATTCCACTCGTCACATCAAGGCATGAAAACGGTAACAGAAGTAAAGATCATGTGTTCTACCATTTTAATGATGCTCATTTTCCAGAAGCCTGTATGCACACGTAGAGGAAACCCTAACGAAGACTTCCCATAGTCCAGATGATTTTGGTCTTCTGTAGAGATGGTGATATTAGAAAGGCTATATGCTCACTCAATACAGCTATTTATTTGTTTTCAGATACTGGTCACTTACCGATGTGGTCACCACGAAAGGACTCACTGTATTATAGAATGAACTCGGATATTTGTTCTTTCCCTCCAAGAAAAAAAAAAAAAAAAGGATCATATTTATGAATTATAGATCAGTCTTGATCTTTTGACTTATGGTGAATTGTGCTTTGAAAATCTAATGAAGCCAGGGCTTTGGCTTCACTATGAATTGCTGCTTATCACTGTCCAAGAAGGAGTGGTTTTAGCAAGACTGGCTTTTGCGATATTAATTTTGAAACAATAAAATTATTCTGAATATTTAAATATTGTCTAGAAATATTATGATTTTGTTTGTTTCCTTTAAACTATCTGTTGTATAAAATTTTATAATATTCATCTGAATTTGAATCCTGTTAAACTTAAAAATTATGCATTAAAATTCAAAATCCAATCAGGCTGAGATTTCTTGCTGTTCGCGAGAGACCTGGCTGATTCATTCATTCTTGTTCTCTTTTCTGTAAGTATGGAAGTAAATATTTTATTAAAATTACATTATTTTTATTAAATCACGACTTGCCAAATTTATTGCATTTATTGGAAAATAATTTTTTTTTCCCTCCTACATTTTTATCTAGTTTTCTTTCTTCTATATTTTGATCTAAAATTCAGTAGGGTTTTATAATCGGATGTTTGAATGAATGAAATTGCAGAATGAGGAGAAGTATAACTGTCCTACTATACAGAATAATTATACTGTTTTAGTACTAAATAAACTGCTCGAACTATTAACTTTCATATGAACTGCACAACTACCATCAATTTTTATAAGGGCAATCTAGTTGAGCAATTTCATTTTAAGCCTGCACTTACTGTACTGTTGTACCTGAAAACAAGTATCATATATTTTTTCCTATTTTTTGTTCGTATAGCGTTGTAAAATATTGAATTAGATAACTTGCCTCTAGCATTCAGATAAGAACCAACAAATCATAACCGTGTTCATCAAATATCCACTTGCATATTCTACTGCCAGATATTCTGAGTGAGTATTAACGTAACCACCTTGCGCTATTTGGCATTTTTTTTTATCAGATGAAGAGGTAAAAGTCACTTCCCAGGTACAAGTTGGTGGTTTTCGCGCCTTTTTCTAGAAAGATTCCGAAATTATCGATGTTTATTGTAAATTGGTAACTATTATCAACATATGAAAAGAAAACATACTTTAGCAATTTAAAATACATAAATTCATTTTCGAAATATTAAATAAGGATTACGTGATACATTAAAAAATAAAACCACTTACACTGTTCTTCAAATCTTTGGGTTTTCTCTCTGTTCTCCTCCAAAAGTGCACAGCAATCTGTTTTCGCTTTAGAAGAAATCAGTGAATTGCGAAAAATTTTCAGCAAAATTCAGTATTCCCGCAGAAATTTTGTGGCAGTTTCTTGCATTGTTGGCAAATTCTACAAGCTCATATTTTAAAACTTAAGTTTTAAGGGGGGGGGGAAATGTCACGAATTATTTATAAAAATCATTGGAACTTGGAATGGGGGGGGGGAAACCTCATACAGAAATGGCGGCATTGTTTGACTAAAAGAATGTTATGAGCATGGCTGCTGAAAGAATCGTTATGGGCATGGTTGCCAGAGTTTGGCGCATTCTGAAAATTTGGCGACTTTTACTAAGGTGGTTGCGTTAATACCCAAGTACCATATTCTATTCACCAATTTTTCAATATTTGATAGAATATTGTGCCAAATATTCTATTCAATTTTTTTCACACTTCACGTTTTTTTTTTTTTTTTTTTTTTTTTTTCACAAAATTTATCCTAAGTGAGAGGGATCTTTCTTATTTTTGACTAAACACGGTGTATTCTGTGGGATAGAGATAAATTGACGTAGTTTATTGGTACTTAATGGTTAAAAAAGCTTCATTTTTTTAAGTGCCTTAATAGTATGTATTTTTAACATAACTATATTAGTGGATTTTTTAACATAAGTTTTCGCCAATTTTTTTTATTGTATAGAATATCATTATGATTGTTTCTTTTAGTTTAACGTTATTACGGCATAAACTCAATATAATATTTGCATGGCCGCAAAGGCAGCCACATAGGGCGCCAGCGCCCTCCGATAATAGGGCTTGACAATAAGTACTGGATAATAAGTTCTCATTCGTAAAAAGTCGATAATAAGTTCTTCTCAGAAACGACAAATAAGTAAAGTATGTATTTCGCTCTGGATTATTAATGCATTTAAATTATAAGGTTTGGTATCATCTAGGATTAGAACATGATGGAATCAAGTGATTTTTAGCATTTTCTGCAAGCAATAAGGCAATTATCAGGCGAATACCAATGAAATCATAAAACGGTAAACTTTTTCGTAAATTTCGAATTCTATTATTTTCTTTTATGGGATTCAAATTGAAGCGGTCGGTCGCTCATATTTCACTAAAGTTAATTTATAAGAATGAGAAATATTAAATATCATTTTGAGCTGACTTTAGAAAGTTCTATACCGAAGTTTTTCAAAATTTTTAACCGTTACTCTAAATTAGGGTTTCTTAAACTTTTTTTTCAGTCGCGACCCCTTTTTATCATCGAGAATTTTTCGCGACACCTGGGACCTCATAATGTTTACAAAAATTATGTGTGACCCCATTAAGTATTGCGCAAATCCGACACACGCGTGAGTGAAACTGTCAATTTTTTCACTTGTACTGCAATGTACTATTGCAGTTTTAGGTCATTAATTTCTAATTTTAAGACATAGAACAATGTGAACATTTTAAATAAGTTAACAGACAAAATGACAGCGTCAAGTGTAAAGCAAGGAAGATGAACGTTTATATTATAAAAAGAATGCGTCGAAATTTTTCTTTTCTTTGTCTGAATTCTCTTATCTTTATCTATTTTCAGATACATTGTGTAAAAATATTTGGTAATTGTAAAATTATTATAGTAAGTTAAAGAAATATCAAAACTGTTAAAATTTTTGGCGACCCCCCCCGCCTCCTACAGGTCCCGTGACCCCCTTGGTCGCGACCACAGTTTAAGAAACACTGCTCTAAATCGTACTATCAGGATTTTATTGTCCATGTGACCTTCTAAATGTTGCTATTCTCAAGAGATAAGATACTATTTCTTCGATGACTTGTACGTGGACCGGCAAATAGCCAATTCTCAGGGCATTGCCACCAACGTCGTTAAGATTTTTAATCTATCTTTTAAATTATAACTTTAGTTGCTTAACAAGTTGAGAAGTTTAAAAACAATAAACGTACTTTTTTATTATTTTGTATCTTTATTTATATTTAATAATATAAATTATAATAATGCATTCGGTTGACATGACTTACAATATAGACATATTATAAGTACTTCCAATTATTTTAATAAAAGATTTTTCTAACGCCATATGAATCGTGAATCGGTTACCATAATAATTATGACAATAGTTTAGTTCATTTTTTTATCATTTAGTTTATTTTTATTTTATTTCTTTATGTCCTTTAGTTAATTAAATTAAGTTTTGAAAGTTTCATAAGCAAAATTGGAAAATTAAAAGAAGTGGAAAATAATTGCGATCGTGAAAAAAAAAATTACAGTTTGGCAAATGAAATAACGTACGGAAGGGGTTTTTAGCCCACAGTGCGTAAACCCAGAAGGGGTATTAATTTCAAAACGGCATTTTGCGTCGATTCACTTTTCAAACTTTTGCCACCAAATATTATCGCCATGTATTATATATAAAGAAACCAAATAATGAAGAATTTTGAATCAAATTTTGAATAACGTAATCCTCCAACCGAACATGGGCACACTAAAGCCCGAATTTTGAATTTCGAATTTTTATGTATTTCAAATTTTGTAAAACTTTCGTGAATTTTTGATTAA